CACTCACTGCTGCCGTGGGTCACCAGGAACTCCAGCATCTTGTTCATGGCCCCCATAAAAAATATAATGCGTAGTTGGGTCATCGCCATGGTGATGAGACTCCACAGGAAGATGGGGGAGCAGACCGACCTGCGAAATGGGACAGTGCTTTGCACTGTTTGGGGGGGGGCATGGTTCACTTTAGGGTTAGAATGCTTCCCTTCCCTTCGCGTCCCTGCTGGCGTCTCGGGTTCTATGCTCTCACCGGGCCTGCTGCCGCCCTGCAGCCTCTCTGTGGAGTGGTCCAGCTCCCGGTGTTTCTGGCTGAGCCGCTGGCCGACCACCATCACATGGCTGTGGAAGCGCTCACCGGTCACTTTGTGGTCCAGAGCCAGGCCCTTCAGCTTGATGTGCTTCCTGCCGGGGGGGGGGGCACACGAGGGGCCAGTGTGTCGGCAATGGAGACAGAGCACTGTGCTTCAGCTCATCGACTCTGCAACAGCAAACGTGTGGCACTACAGCAATGGTCCCCAAGTCCCGTTTTGGACGGCCAGAATCCAACACAGTCTGCAGATTTGCCTGCTCAGACATATCTCATTCAACTAAATACTGGGGTTAGTAGGTGTGTTTGAGCAGGGAAATTTGCAAACTGTGCTGGATTCTGAACCTCCAGGACTGGATTTTGGGGGACCTTGCCCTACAGCATGTGCAGAGGCAGTAACTGTGCGTTGTGGCTGGTCTAGCGGCAATGACTCTACAGCATTCTCTTCACGGAGGCACACACTGCCGTTATTGTGTCTGTTCTTCTATGCGATGTGATGGCAGCTTAAGGAAACATCACAGTGGGGTTGACTGACGTGTATGTGGCTTCCTCCGGGTCCGGGAATGACTCCACAGGCCAGTTCAGGAAGCAGTTGAGGAAGACGAAGCAAGCCAACCCTGCCCAAGTCCACATGATTACCCGGAAGGACACACCCACATCATAGATCAGCTTAGACAGTGTGGCACAAAGAGAGAGAGAGAGAGAGAGAGAGAGAGAGAAAGAGTTGGTCTCCATAATTAGCTGAGGATATGAGCACTGCTGCTGCAGGCTTTTTCGCTGGAAGGCCATTGATATGCCTTCATCATCATCATCATCATCATCATCATCATCATTGGCACCCCTTTAGGGATACTGAGTTTACTCTTTAGTTTCGCCAATATCAGCTAAGGCGTTTTTCTGCTTTTTAAAGGTGCTTTGTACCATCTTGCTTATGACAAATAACAAAACATGTGACTTTTTATCATGCTGAAGCTGCTCAGTACAGCGGTCAGCAGAAAGGAAGCATCACCACGCGGATGTCAGGCTGCCTGACGAGGGGCGGGGCTTAGCCCGATGAAAGCAGGGAGTCAGCGGTGGAGGTGTGAGAGGTCAGCTACCTTGATGCCTGGGAAGGTGACAGCAGACGAGGCATAGGAGCCAATCATGAGGGACAGGATGGTGGAACGAATGTTCCCAAACATGTTTGGTAACTAAAAGAGAAGGAGAGATAATGGGCTTCTATCACGAAGCAGGATTTCTTGCTTATCCAGATAACACATTCAAACTGGGGTACCGTAAATCAAACAACCTATTCAGTTCAGCAAGAAATCCAGCTTTGTAATACAGGCCCACAATGGAATACAAATCTATATAAACAAACATTATTTTATATACAGTCTGTATTTACAAGTGACGACTAAATAAAGTAAACGTGATCAGATGAGGGAGGTGAAGCAGTAAAGGAAGGAGCTCAGGGACACCAGCAGTGGGGGGGAGGGGGGTCTCAGGGACACCAGTAGGGGAGGGTCTCAGGGGCCGAGGGATGTCTCAAGTGTTTTTTTTTTTTTTTAGAAGGAAAAGACAGCAGGGATATTTGGTGCCCGACAGTCACAGAGCAAAGGCTCTCACACAGACGCATGCATTCTCTCTTAGGAAACACCAGGAACACCATACCTGGAACAAAGAGGTGCTAGTCCTACCTACAGCCCTACACATGTGAGGTCACAATGCCAGCCAGTGAACCTCCCCATATTAATGTGAAAAAGTAACAAATTAGATACAAATATGCAAAAAACTATTTTCAGACCAAACCTTTCATAACTCTCACGAGTCAACAAGTCAACCCAGAATACAGACATACTGACTGGTCATCCAATCTATTTAAGACCAGCAGAGGGCAGCAGGGGACACTCGTATCACTGTGCAGCTTGCATCACCACAAGGCCCCGTTTCATCAGGGCTCTGCAGCCAATCACCAGACAGCACAGGGAGCTTCCTACTGCAGAACACAATCCAGCTGTCTCCCGAAATCTTGCCCCTCAAGTGAGCATGCTGACAGCAAAACTAACGCAAGTTATGAGAATTTCACAATGACATGGAGTGTCACTACGCAGTGTCACCTTGGTTTATGGGCAACATTTGAAAGTCTAAGGATTCGACTGAGTAAATGTGAAAAGAGATGGTGTGCAATGTTTTATAAACAGACAGAAGGAGGAAGAAACAGAGTGCGCTCAGCCCGAAGTACAGCACAAGGTAGAAATGTAAACATTCCCCAGGGTCGGCTGCCGGCCTGCCAGGGACAAACAGTATTTTACAATCTCCAGGTATCAAGTCCTGGTCCATACTTCCCAGTCCCACAACCTGCAAAACACTAACAAGTTCACCCTGGTTATCAGAAAAAAAGATATTTCAGTGGTATGAAGGAGTTTACATTCACAACTTATGGTGTTTCTGCCACCAGAACAGAACACTGAATCTGGCGTCACCACTGAACACAGTCTGAGGTCACCACAGAACCCAGCTTGGAATCACCACTAAACAGTCTGACGTCATCACTGAACATAGCCTGCAGTCATCACTGAACACAGTCTGCTGTCACCATAGAATCCAGCCTGAAGTCACCACTGAACACAGTTGCACCATCACTAAACATAGTCTGCTTTTACCACTGAACACAGTCTCACATTACCACAGAATACAGTCTCACGTCACCACTGAACACAGTCTACTGTCACCACAGAACCCAGCCTGGAATCACCAATGAACCCAGTCTGCCAAAATCACAGAACACATTCTGCAGTCATCACCGAACACAGTCTGGTGTCACCACTGAACAAAGTCTGTCATTGCCAGTGAACACAGTCTGCTGTCACAAATGAGCACAGTCTGTTATCACTATGGAACCCAATCTGTTGTCATCATTGAATCCTGTATACAATCATGGCCAAAAGTTTTGAGAATGACAGAAATATAAATTTTCAGTCTGCTGCCTCAGTTTTTATGATGGCGATTTGCATATACTGAAGAATATTATGAAGAGTAATCAGATGAATTGCAATTAATTTGCAAAGTCCCTCTTTGCCATGAAAATGAACTTAATTGCAAAAAACCCATTTCCACTGCATTTCAGCCCTGCCACAAAAGGACCTGCTGACATCATTTCAGTGATTCTCTCGTTAACACAGGTGAGAGTGTTGAGGAGGACAAGGCTGGAGATCACTCTGTCATGCTGACTGAGTTACAATAGCAGACTGGATGCTTTAAAAGGAGGGTGGTGCTTGAAATCATTGTTCTTCCTCTGTGAACCATGGTTACCTGCAAGGAAACGTCATCATTGCCTTGCACAGGCTTCACAGGCAAGGATGTTGCTGCTAGTAAGATTGCACCTCAATCAACCATTTATCAAATCATCGAGACCTTCAAGGAGAGAGGTTCAATTGTTGTGACAAGGTCTTCATGGCACACAAGAAAGTCCAGCAAGTGCCAGTACTGTCTCCTAAAGTTTTTTCAGCTGTGGGATCGGGGCACCACCAGTGCAGAGCTTGCTCAGTAATGGCATCAAGCAGGTGTGAGTGCATGAAAGACTGTCCAGAGAAGAAAAGGTGAATGCTACCATCAGTCCTGTGTCATGCCAACAGTAAAGCATACTGAGACCATTCATGTGTGGGGTTGCTTCTCAGCCAAGGGATTGGGCTCACTCACAATTTTGCCTAAGAACACAGCCATGAATAAAGAATGGTACCAAAATATCGTCTGGGAACAACTTCTCCCAACCATCCAAGAACAGTCTGATGATGAACGCTGCCTTTCCCAGCATGATGGAGCACCGTGCCATAAGGCAAAAGTGATAACTAAGTGGCTCGGGGAACAAAACATCGACGTTTTGGGCCAATAGCCAGGAAACTCCCCAGACCTTAATCCTGTTGAGAACTTGTGGTCAATCCTCAAGAGGCGGGTGGCCAAACAAAAACCCACGAATTCTGACAAACCACAAGCATACATACAATAACTAGTGAAAGTCAACAAACATCACTACTGAACACAGTGAGCCCTTGCCTTCCTGGTCCTCCCGTCAGGTTAGTTTTGCACGTTGGGCCATGTGTGAAGCCGCACAATTTCTTCACTTTGGGGTCTATGGAAGGTTCACACCAGGCAGCAGTGCTCAGTCACACAGGGAAGGACCATGGCAACCAGCCACTGTGACACACCGTCCACATGTAACCTCTCAGCTGCCTGCCATTGCTCACCCTCCTGTTACCCATAAATATACCCCCCCACCTGCCTGTGGAGAACCCCTTCTGGAGGTCAAGGGAGGACAATAAACAGTGAGCAGAAAAATGAGCAGAACATTCTAGTGGTCAGCTGAGTGCCTGCCTGTTCTCAGTACGGGTGTGTCCTTGTGATTGGGCAGAAGTGTGGGGTGTGTGCCAAGGACACGGCCTGTGATTGGGCAGGAGTGAGTCAAGTGGAGGGTGTGTGCCAAGGCCATGGCCCTTGATTGGTGCAGATCCACGTGCTGCTAAGGGGCTGTAACACAGTGACGTTCTCACTCACAGCTGTTGCTGAGGCAGTGACCCCAAGCACAAGCACACCCCAGAGCCTCCCATGACGAACAGGCCCACATCCTCATCCACACACTCCACAAGAACGTCCCTGTCATCACACTCCCCAGGGCACCGCAACCACATCCTCACCCTTTCCAGGGGCCCACATCCCTGCCCTCACACTTCCCCGGGATCTGTGTCCCCATCCTCCTACTTCCCAGGGACTTGGCCCACTCATCCCAGAAAGGAAGAATGTAGGCATGTCTCACCGTGAGGGATGTAAAGGTGAGGCAGATTCCTCCAAAGCCATTAAAGGAAACAGCAATGAAGATCAGAGCTGACAGCACTGTAAAGAGAATAATGCCGCTTAACTGACCAGAACAGTGAACTACAGACTGAGTGACAGGGGTGCGTTGAGTACAGACACAGGACTGTGAAGATCAGCTACAGATGGGGTTACATAGACACAGTGAAGGGAAGGCAAACTGGAATCACTCACCCGGAGGATTATACGCCGCCACAGCAATCATGGCACAGGAGAAGGCAAAACAGGAGCTGAGGGACGGAGGGCCAGGGCTCAGCGAACCTCAGTAAAATGAGTCTAATAATCCTACTGGTGACCAGTTAGCCACACCTATAACAACAAGCCAGGAGGAATCGCGAAGAGGACAAGCAGGAGCGGGGAGGATTCGCAGCCAGTGAGACCCGGCGGACATTTGCAGGCGTACCTCACCTGCCCAGCAGCCGCAGGGGACGCGGCCCGAATCGGTCCATCAGCACGCCCAACGGCAGCGTGGCGGCGCTTAGCAGGAAGGAGCCGATGGTAAAGCCCAGGTTCAGTATCTCCTCCTGCTCCACACAGCTGAGCCACGCCGAGTGCTGCTCTTCTGCACTAGCAGTGCCGTTAGCACTCAGCGTGCCATTCTCTATGTGCGGTGGAGATGCAAAGGTGAGCCGTGTGTGAGAGGGTGGCAGGAGGCCTAAGGCTAACCTCCACCTCCTAACGGAGCACAGGGCACAGGTTGGCTGAGGCTGGTGTTTGGCCCGAGACAAGGAAGAAAAGTTATCTGAAATGCAAATCCTAGCAAAAACTAGTCATCAAAGCAGTCAGAAAGCAGGCATTTACTGTAGTGCTGAAAGCAGGAGACCAGAAGCTGCGCTTTGGAGCTGGAACTGGACGCTGGCACCTGGACATTATACTGCACCTGGATATTATGCTATAATCAGACACTGGGAGCTGGACATTATACTGGAACATGGCACTGGGAACTGGACATTCTGTTGGAACCAGGACATTATGCTGGAACCTGGATATTATGCTGGATTCAGACATTGGGACCAGGACATTATACTGGTACCTGGACATTGTGCTGGAACCTGCATATTACGCTGGAACATGACACTAGTACCTGGCACTGGGATTTGGACATTATCCTGGGACCTGGCACTGCAAGAATTTAGCATTCTGTCAACAGGTACCCATTTCTTCATTATAGAAGCCGGGAATTCATTGTAAAGTTGTTATAAAGCAGACATGTTAAGGTGGCTCTGGGACCATTTGCCATTTGTTGACTGTCACTGAACACCTTCTCTCATGTGTGTCAGCAAGGTGACAGAACATACTCGAACACAGGTGGGAGTAGAATCCCTCATTTTTCAGCATGATGAGCAGGGAGCCCCAGCCAAGCAGCACTGCAGAGAAGAGCAGGTTCTCCAGCACCGCTGTCACTGCCATCCAGTAGCGCCTACTGTAGGCCTGGGACAAAGAGGGCGCCATAGCACTGACAGAGAGAGAGAAGAGTCACATGAATACCATACTAAGAGAGAGGGTTAATACAACACAGTACAGATACAGTAACTGAACACTACTGTACATTAAAACTGTACTGATAGAGATGGCTAATACAGCACAGTATAGATACAGTGACTGAACACTACTGTACATTAATACCGTACAGACAGAGGATTAACACAGAACTGTACAGTGTAGATACAAAAATATGTGGCTATATGAAACCTACAGGAAATACTAAGGTGCATGTATTTTATTAGCACATGAGCATCACAGGCCCATGTCCCCACTGTCATGCATGCCACCCGTCCGTCACAAAAGTATTTCTCGCGTGACAGATAAAACCCGAACTTTCACAGCATACCAAGTTAAAATAAAAACAAAATGATCATCTGCAGCATTTTCCCAAGCATACAGACAAACAGAATAAAGAGACCTTTGCCAGCAAACCCTGAGCGGGACAGAGGTCCGACGCCACGTGTGAAGAGGCGCCTGGCACCGTTTCTTTTCTGCATATTAACCAAACAGCGTCTCTCCAAATATATGTTCCCGATCAAAGCTGGCGAAAACTTACTTCAAACGTAATGTGCTCAAAAGTAAAACCGTGTGATATGGTGGAACTTTTCTTCCTCTTCTTCAAGTTCAAAAATTATTTTGATTACTTCTGTTTTCGGCTTTACATTATACTTTATACATGAATGAAACAAACCTCGACTATGCTCTGAGCAACTTTTCGCGATGAATTTAGTATAAATCCGGTGCGACTTGCACTGAAGGCGCGTACAATCCCGTTTCCACCCCGGTCTATATTTCCCTCTAGACCTCCCTCCTTCCCTCCCTCCCTCTTCTGTGCTCCTCTGTCTATAAATGGCTCGTCGTTTTTTTTGCACCCTCACCCATAACTTTTGAGACCGTACTTTTCCCCGCAGCTGTCAAAAAGCCGTCCGTCTACAGCGCCCCCATCGCCCCGCTGCTTCCCGTACCAAGGAACACTTTTATTATCTAAGGAGGTGAGACCCGATCTGTCCAAGCTGACCAGGCCATTTAAACGCAATCCCGCCGAAACCCAATCTGTTCAGTAAACCAGCTTCGAGCAGGAGACCATGTGCGCATAATCACCATAAGGACAAACTTGGAAGACGAGAAAGAGTTTATACTTTATACTTAGTAATTTAAGTATAATGGTCTGTTTATGGAAGGGATGAACGAAGCCAAATGAAATATTGGGGAGGGCACACACGCCCCCCGGTTTAATACGCCCCTGTCCCAAACAAGCACAGATTGATTTGCAGAACTGTATCCTCGCTAATTAGGCTATCGTAAGTCAGCACTTTTTAAACAGTCAGTCAAGGGCGTCGTTAGATCCGATCACTCAGGGCTATAGCCCCGAGTATTTTACCCGCGATGCTAGTATTCCTTCAAAAAAAAGTAAAGCACCCGGAAAAACTTTTTTTCAATAGCTAGAAACGCCCCGGCAATCAGTCCAAAACTTTCTGTCTGCGGTTTGATTTCTAAAAGTTGAATGCTTTTATTCACTGATACCACGCCAGCACTGCGCGCACATTGGTCAGCACCCACCCGGGAAGCCTGGCGCGATGCTCCCCCTGGTGGCATGATGCGGCATTTTCACTTTCGCCCGCTAACTGTTTTCCGCTGACGCCAGTTCCGTAATTATCTAGTAATGTTTCGTGCTATGTCGATACACCGATGCATCTACCAGATACTTAAGGTATCTACTGCCAGTTAATAGCACAAAGGATTCATGAGGAGATGTAAATTAGAAGCAGGGCTGGTCGAGGCTGGTGTGGTGCTCTAGGTGAGCTTTACGGCTGACACTGCACAGCAGACTGCCACAGATGCCAGAATAAAGGCAAAAACAATAGGAGTAGAGAAAGAAAGATTGTTTGCTGTTTATGCATAGTAATACTGTATGGTGTTTAGGAATTGTGTGACAGAGTGAGAGGAGGCGGGAAGGGGAAGTGAAGGATCCCAGGAAAAAGGGGTACCGTGTCAGGACTGTTCTACGACTAGCTGTTGGGATATAGTGGCTCTGGCCCACAACAGCTAAATAAAGTTCGTTTTCGGCCACTTGCCTCCTCATTCCCATACAGTGATCTTTACAGTGATGTCAGAAGTGAAACTGCCATTGCGAGCAAGCCGGGTTTTGCCTCTGTATGGAGATGGCACTAGCCAGGCAAGCTTACACACACATGCTGCCAGATGTGCAGAGTGAGCTAGCCCGCGACCAGTTTGTCAGGGCGCTCTCTCTGGCGGATCTGCGTGTCCACATGCAGCTGGCTCGCCCATGGACCCTGTCTGATGCCCAGGAGTTAGCAATAGAGAGGGAGATGGCAGTGGGGGGCAGCACTGCAGGGTACTGACTTGCCACCTGCAGTTAGGGTAGCCGGGGAGTGTGGAGAGGTGGTGCAGAAGCCTGCCTGGGTAGAGGAGATCACGGAGATAATATGGGGGTTAACCCTGCCTCCGGCCAGGCAACAGCAGGCACTAGTTTGTTACCACAAGTTAAACCATTGGGAAAAGGTTGCAGTAGGCGGGATGCTGCAGGTCCCCACACCCGTGTCCCACTCATCACCTATGCGGGCTGCCCTGCTCAATTGGAGCAATAGGGGAGGTGAGCATGGAGTGGTTGTGGTGGGGCGGCCCTTGGTGTCAGACTTCTGCCACATCCCAGTTTGCATCGAAGGGGTTCTGTGCACTGCCCTGGTAGACACGGGATCTGCAGTCACTGTGGTCCAGCCAGAGGTGGTAATAGAAGGCTTGCAGCTAGAGGGCACAGCAGTCCAGCTCCGCACAGTGACTAGTGAGCTAGCGCCGATGAGAGGGAGGGGACTGCTGAGGTTAGCAGTTGGGGGCAACAACGTTCAGCACCTGGTTTGGGTAGCTGAGGTGCACAATGCATGCATTCTGGGACTTTTTGAGGGATCAGGGCTGTCAGTTGGACCTGGTGAATGCTACATTGAGTTTCAACAGTGGCTATGTGGTGAAGATGAAGCCACCAGGTGGGCCACAAGCCAGTGAAGTGGCAGGGGGACCCTAGGCAGTCAACCCGAAGGCATGTCAGCAACCCTGCCAAACCAGCCCACATGGTACACCTCAGCAGCAGCCCCTGGCATGTCTCACACAACCTACCTGTTGTCAGGAGGCTGAGAACCCAGAGGGGACCCGGCATAGCCACATAAAGGGACCCATACCTGCTACTGAGGCTCCTACTATCCAAGTGTGCATTCCAAGCCGGGTACTGGATGGACAGGGCAGACCGGACCCTTTGCTGGACAAAGAGGCGGGTCTGCGGGAAATCCGGCACAGGAGTGCCAGCGACCTGGATGAGTAGCAGCAGGAACATCAGTGGCAGTTGCTGCTGGAATTCCAGGAATGTTTTGCATACGATGACGACGAGTTGGGGTAGACTTCCCTGGTGCAACACAGTATAGATCCGGGATGCTGCTCCCATACGGCAGTGTCCACGCTGCCTTCTGCTGGGCCGTCTGGAAGCTGCAGAGCAGGCTCTAGTGAAGATGTTAAGTGCTGGCATAATAGAGCCTTCTGAGAGCCCCTTGGCATCTCCAGTGGTCATGGTCCCTAAGCGGTGGGGAGGGTGGCGCTTCTGTGTTGATTACAGGAAGCTCAATGGGTTAACAAAGAAAGACTTTTACCCTCTCCCACATGTGGATAAATGCCTTGAGCGGGTAGCTGGCTCTTCTTGGTTTTCATCCCTGGACATGAAGAGCAGCTACTGGCAAGTCCCTCTGTCCCCTGAAGCTAGACCTAAGACTGTGTTCTGCACTAGCAAGAGGTTGTGGCAGTTCAGGATTCGTTGCTTTGGCCTATGTAATGCACCAGCCACCTCTGAGCGTTTGATGGAACAAATGTTGGAAGGGGCCCTGCGGCAGACATGTCTCGTTTTCCTGGATGACATACTGGTGCATGGGAACTCCTTCTCCTCAGCAGTCATCGCTTTGCAGTAGGTGCTGGAGATGATCAGGGCAGCAGGGCTGAAGCTACACCCTGACAAGTGCAGGCTCCTGAGCAGGGAACTGACCTTCCTGGGCCATAGGATAGGCTGTGAGAGGGTGGGCACTGCAGAGGACGAGGTGCACCCCATACACGAGTGGCCCACACCTGTAGATCAGAGAGGTCAGATCAGGTTGGGGAGCATGTGCTGGTGCAGTGCGTTGCTGCACCCACCACACAGCAAAACTCCTCGGGATCCCAGCCAGCGATCCTCCAGGCGGCTGATCAGAGAGCGCTGAAAAGTTTTTTAGGCTTAACTTCCTATTATAGGAAGTTTGTATGAGGGTTTTCCTGCATTGTAGCCCCCTTGTACAAGCTGCTGCAAAAAGACCGTCACTTTGTCTGGAGGGCAAATTGCCAGGCAGCTGTTTAAGCTCTACAGGAAGCCCTGACTAGCTCACCCATCCTGGCGCCCCCTGACCCTGACTTGCCTTTGATACTGGACACTGATGCGAGCGGGGAGGGGGTGAGGGTGGGGGCGGTTCTGTCCCAGAGGTGGCCAGATGGAGAGCGGATGGTGGCCTTTTAAAGCAAGGCACTGAGTAAAGCAGAACGGAGGTATTGTGTCACCCATTGGGAACTGTTGGCTGCAGTCTCTGCCATCAGGCATTTCAGGTATTACACGAGTGGTCGGCACTTCACCCTGCGCTCTGGCAATGCCTCCCTGCAATGGCTAATGTCCTTCAAAGAGCCAGAAGGGCAGGTGGCTCGTTGGCTGGAGGAACTACAGAGCTATGAGTTCACAGTGGTCCAACGTGCAGGGGATCAAATTGGCAACGCTGACACATTGTTTCAGTGCCCATGCAGTGCGCAAGTGTGCAAGTATTGTGAGCAGAACTACAGGGGGTGGGGGTTCCTGAGTAGGCTTAGAAGCAGTGATGTGACCCAGCCCTGCAACTTGTTATGCTATGGGTGAGCACACAGGGGCGGCCATCATTGGAAGAGGTGGCAGCCCTCTCCCTGGTCATCAAGGGGCAATGGGCAAAATTCAACACACTACGCCTACAAGATGGGGTCCTGCAGTGGGCCTGGGTGGAGCCAGCGACAGGGGAGAAGAGATGGCAGGTCCTGGTGCCTGACGGGATGCAGGAGGAGGTGCTCAAGGCTCTGCATGGCTCTGTGGGGTCTGGGCACTTCGGCGTGACAAAAACCCTCCGGTGCATGCGTCAGGGCTTTTACTGGGGGCAGCTGAGGAGGGATGTGGAGGATTTTTGCAGGCGTTGTGACCACTGTGTGGCATGTGAAGGACCACAAGGGCGATCCAGGGCCAAACTCCAGCACCCATGCAGTGGGTGGGGGATGATGTAATGGGGCTGTTCCCACGCACAACACAGGGGAACCGCCTTATACTGACAGCCATGAACTACTTTACCAAATGGCCAGAGGCTTATGCTTTGCCAGACCAGGAGGCTGAGACTGTGGCCCCTGGTTGAGGGGGTGTTCAGCAGGTTTGGGGTCCCCGGGTCCATCCACAGTGATCAAGGGCGGAATTTTGAGCAATTGTCCAGGTTAACATCCTCCCATCAGCTGGACTAGGATGCATACTTACCTCTGGTCTTGATGGCTTTCCGCTCTGCGGTCCAGAGCTCAACCTCCTGTGCACCAGCCCTCCTAATGCTAGGCTGAGAGATCAGGACCCGTCAGATGCTGCATCTGCCCCTGTTGGGCCTGAGTATGCCAGATGCTCCAGGATCACTTAGATACAGCTTACGAGTATGCCAGGGGACAGCTGCTGAGTGCTGGGCTGTGGCAAAAATGGAATTACGACCTCCTTGCCCAGAGGTGTCACTTCACAGCAGGGGAGCTGGTCTGGGTTTACAGCCCGACCAGGAAGAAGGGCAGGTGCCCTAAGCTGGATACCCACTTGGTGGGGCCGTGTCTGGTCCTGGAGAGGGTGGGGGAAGTTGTGTATAGGGTGCAGCTGCCTTCCCGGGGGTGCAAAGTTGTCCTCCACTGTGACCAGCTGGCGCCTTACTGGGGAACTGCGACACCTCAGAGGAACAGGGCAGAAGGGGGAAGCCCCCTGTCCCCTGCCATACCATCCCCAGCTAGGCTGAGTATGCCAGTCGGTTTGCATCAAGCAGCCAGAGGTGACCAGCCTGCCCATAACGGGGAACTTTGCAATACTTTTTATTGTGTCAGTGTTGATACGCTAAGTGGAGAACAATATGAGCAAAGATTTTTCTATCCATACCTGTTTGTCCAAATGCAGGATCGGAGGGGTCCAGAGCCTTCCCCAGAATCAGGACAGGGAATAACCCCATAGAGCAATGTTTCTTAAAGTGTGGGGCGCGCCCCTCTGGTGGGGAACAGAGACGTGACAAGTGAGGCGCCAAATACAGGGGGACTTTTTTGTTTATTCATTTATTTTTTTCATTTGTGTTATTAAACCTATTAATTCATTTATTTAATTACCATACACCCAAAACAAAACAAAGATACATTTAAACGTAATCCTAAATTAAAACAACATCAGCGAACGAATGGCATTGAAAATGTCACGTGGAACCACAGTACTTTACGACAGTGATTTTACGTCGGAGTAATTGAAG